ACTGCTACTACTGGACAGGACTACAGCACTGCTACTACTGGACAGGACTAGAGCACTGCTAGTGTTAGTGGACTACAGCACTGCTACTACAGTAAAGCACTGCTACTACTGGACTACAGCACTACTACTGCTGGACAGGACTACAGCACTGCTAGTGTTAGTTGATTACAGCACTACTACTGCTGGACAGGACTAGAGCACTGCTAGTGTTAGTGGACTACAGCACTGCTACTACTGGACTACAGCACTGCTACTACTGGACTACAGCACTGCTACTACTGGACAGGAGTAGAGCACTTCCAGTGTTAGTGGACTACAGCACTACTACTACTGGACAGGACTAGAGCACTGCTCGTTTTAGTGGACTACAGCACTGCTACTACTGGACTACAGCACTGCTACTACTGGGACTACAGCACTGCTACTACTGGACTACAGCACTGCTACTACTGGACTACAGCACTGCTACTACTGGACTACAGCACTGCTACTACTGGACTAGAGCACTGCTACTACCTAGTGGACAGGACTAGAGCACTGCTACTACCTAGTGGACAGGACTAGAGCACTGCTACTACTAGTGGACAGGACTAGAGCACTGCTACTACCTAGTGGACAGGACTAGAGCACTTCTACTACCTAGTGGACAGGACTAGAGCACTGGTTACTACCTAGTGGACTAGAACACTACTACTACTGGACTAGAGCATGACTACTACTGGACAGGACTAAACAACTACTGATTAGTGGAGTACAGTAGCACTGCTACTACTACTGGACTACAGCACTGCTACTACTACTGGACTAGAGCACGACTTCTACTGGACAGGACTAGAGCACTACTACTACTGGACTAGAGCACTACTACTACTGGACTAGAGCACTACTACTACTGGACTAGAGCACTACTACTACTGGACTAGAGCACTACTACGACTGGACTAGAGCACTACTACGACTGGACTAGAGCACTACTACGACTGGACTAGAGCACTACTACGACTGGACTAGAGCACTACTACGACTGGACTAGAGCACTACTACGACTGGACTAGAGCACACTACTACGACTGGACTAGAGCACTACTACGACTGGACTAGAGCACTAGCTACTACTGGACTAGAGCACTTGCTGCTGCTTCTGGACTAGAGCACTTGCTGCTGCTTCTGGACTAGAGCACTTGCTGCTGCTTCTGGACTAGAGCACTTGCTGCTGCTTCTGGACTAGAGCACTTGCTTCTGCTAGAGCACTGCTTGCTGGACTAGAGCACTTGCTGCTGCTTCTGGACTAGAGCACTTGCTGCTGCTTCTGGACTAGAGCACTTGCTGCTGCTTCTGGACTAGAGCACTTGCTGCTGCTGCTTCTGGACTAGAGCACTTGCTTGCTGCTGCTTCTGGACTAGAGCACTTGCTGCTGCTGCTTCTGGACTAGAGCACTTGTTGCTGCTGCTTCTGGACTAGAGCACTTGTTGCTGCTGCTTCTGGACTAGAGCACTTGTTGCTGCTGCTTCTGGACTAGAGCACTTGTTGCTGCTGCTTCTGGACTAGAGCACTTGCTGCTGCTGCCGCGACTGGACTGGAGCACTTGCTGCTGCTGCCGCGACTGGACTGGAGCACTTGCTGCTGCTGCCGCGACTGGACTGGAGCACTTGCTGCTGCTGCCGCGACTGGACTGGAGCACTTGCTGCTGCTGCCGCGACTGGACTGGAGCACTTGCTGCTGCTGCCGCGACTGGACTGGAGCACTTGCTGCTGCTGCCGCGACTGGACTAGAGCACTTGCTGCTGCTGCCGCGACTGGACTAGAGCACTTGCTGCTGCTGCCGCGACTGGACTAGAGCACTTGCTGCTGCTGCCGCCGCGACTGGACTAGAGCACTTGCTGCTGCTGCCGCCGCGACTGGACTAGAGCACTTGCTGCTGCTGCCGCTGCGACTGGACTAGAGCACTTGCTGCTGCTGCCGCCGCGACTGGACTAGAGCACTTGTTGCTGCTGCTTCTGGACTAGAGCACTTGTTGCTGCTGCTTCTGGACTAGAGCACTTGTTGCTGCTGCTTCTGGACTAGAGCACTTGTTGCTGCTGCTTCTGGACTAGAGCACTTGTTGCTGCTGCTTCTGGACTGGAGCAGCACTTGTTGCTGCTGCTTCTGGACTAGAGCACTTGTTGCTGCTGCCGCGACTGGACTGGAGCACTTGCTGCTGCTGCCGCGACTGGACTGCAGCACTTGCTGCTGCTGCCTGCGACTGGACTAGCACTTGCTGCTGCTGCCGCGACTGGACTGGAGCACTTGCTGCTGCTGCCGCGACTGGACTGGAGCACTTGCTGCTGCTGCCGCGACTGGACTGGAGCACTTGCTGCTGCTGCCGCGACTGGACTGGAGCACTTGCTGCTGCTGCCGCGACTGGACTGGAGCACACTTGCTGCTGCTGCCGCGACTGGACTGGAGCACTTGCTGCTGCTGCCGCGACTGGACTGGAGCACTTGCTGCTGCTGCCGCGACTGGACTGGAGCACTTGCTGCTGCTGCTTCGACTGGACTGGAGCACTTGCTGCTGCTGCCGCGACTGGACTGGAGCACTTGCTGCTGCTGCCGCTGGACTGGAGCACTTGCTGCTGCTGCCGCCGCGACTGGACTGGAGCACTTGTTGCTGCTGCCGCCGCGACTGGACTAGAGCACTTGCTGCTGCTGCGCCGCTTCTGGACTAGAGCACTTGCTGCTGCTGCCGCCGCGACTGGACTAGAGCACTTGCTGCTGCTGCCGCCGCGACTGGACTAGAGCACTTGCTGCTGCTGCCGCCGCGACTGGACTAGAGCACTTGCTGCTGCTGCCGCCGCGACTGGACTAGAGCACTTGCTGCTGCTGCCGCCGCGACTGGACTAGAGCACTTGCTGCTGCTGCCGCCGCGACTGGACTAGAGCACTTGCTGCTGCTGCCGCCGACTGGACTAGAGCACTTGCTGCTGCTGCCGCCGCGACTGGACTAGAGCACTTGCTGCTGCTGCCGCCGCGACTGGACTAGAGCACTTGCTGCTGCTGCCGCCGCGACTGGACTAGAGCACTTGCTGCTGCTGCCGCCGCGACTGGACTAGAGCACTTGCTGCTGCTGCCCGCCGCGACTGGACTAGAGCACTTGCTGCTGCTGCCGCGACTGGACTAGAGCACTTGCTGCTGCTGCTGCTGCCGCGACTGGACTAGAGCACTTGCTGCTGCTGCCGCCGCGACTGGACTAGAGCACTTGCTGCTGCCCGCCGCGACTGGACTAGAGCACTTGCTGCTGCTGCCGCCGCGACTAGAGCACTTGCTGCTGCTGCCTGGACTAGAGCACTTGCTGCTGCTGCCTCTGGACTAGAGCACTTGCTGCTGCTGCTTCTGGACTAGAGCACTTGCTGCTGCTGCCTGCTAGAGCACTTGCTGCTGCTGGGACTAGAGCACTTGCTGCTGCTGCTTCTGGACTAGAGCACTTGCTGCTGACTTCTGGACTAGAGCACTTGCTGCTGCTGCTGCTGCCGCGACTGGACTAGAGCACTTGCTGCTGCTGCTAGAGCACTTGCTGCTGCGCGACTGGACTAGAGCACTTGTTGCTGCCGCGACTGGTCTAGAGCGCTTGCCGCTGCTGCTGGACTAGAGCGCTGATCCCAGCACCACTACTTCTGGACTACAACAATGCACCCATCACTACTAGTACTACAGCACTGCGCCCCGCACTACTATTACTGGACTACAGCACTGTACCTAGCACTACCACAACCACTCACCTGTACCCTGCTGACTGGGCTCACAACACAATGAATCGGGGATTCAGTGTACTAAACTGGGGGTCCCTCTGTCCAAACTTGGGAAACAAAGTGTATTCAACCGAAGGAAGTGTCCAGGGGACCAACTGTACAAAATAGGGGTTGTTACTGGCCAGAACTGGGACACTGAGTATCTAGAACTGGGGGGAAATGACTGTACAAAGTAGGTGTACTCACTGTTGAGAACTGTGATAACAAGTGTCTAGAATTGGGGGGGGGGGGGGGGGTGCGCCTCTGCAACTGTACAAAATAGGGGGGCTGGTTGTATAGAAGATTGGGGACCTAGTGTCCAGAATTGTGACTGTATAAAACAGGGATACTGACTTTCCAGAACTTGAAGACGACTGAGTGTCTAAAACTAGGTGGCTGACTATATATATAACAGGAGTACGGACTGTCTAGAACTGGGGGCTTACTGTGCAGGACTGGGGAAAGAGTGTCTAGAACTGGGCCACCGACTGTATAAAATGGGGGACTGACTGTTCAGAACAGAAGACTAACTATACAAAATAGGGGGAACGACTGTACAGAACCGAAGGATTGAACCAGGGGGCTCACTGTACAGGCCAGTGGACTACCAATACTGAAATGGGAGGCTGACTGTACAGCTTAGAGGACTACCTATACCAGGGGCGGACAGACAACTCATGGGGCCCCCGGACAATAAGGGATCATGGGGCCCCTGTGTCCTTGCCCAAACTCAAAAAAACCTATGAAAAAGGTACCAGGGGCATCACATGGGGCCCCCTGCTGACCCCGGGCCCTCGGGCAGTGCACAAGTTTCCAAATGGTCAGTCCGCCCCTGACCTATACAGAACTGAGAAGCTGACTGTACAGGGCAGAGGTCTACCTATACAGAACAGGGGGACTGACTGTACAGGGCAGAGGTCTACCTATACAGAACAGGGGGACTGACTGTACAGGGCAGAGGTCTACCTATACAGAACAGGGGGACTGACTGTACAGGGCAGAGGTCTACCTATACAGAACAGGGGGACTGACTGTACAGGGCAGAGGTCTACCTATACAGAACAGGGGGACTGACTGTACAGGGCAGAGGTCTACCTATACAGAACAGGGGGACTGACTGTACAGTATAGGGGCTGAACAAAATCAACTCGCCACACTCAACCCAGGTGTTCAATAGGAGCTGTGAGGAGGATTGGTGTCACAGCTTAAAGTGTTACTAAACCCAGGACCCTGCATTCACTATATCTGGTCTCCCACAGTACACTGTAATGCAATTATTTTAGTAAATATAAACTGCTAAATGCTAGTGGTGCACCGAAATGAAAATTCTAGTACCGATACCAGAAATTCAGAATGCATGTGGCCGAAAACTTAACCCAAAATGTCTGCCTATGTGGGGGTGTAGAGGCTCCAATTTTTTTTTTTCTACTTTCGTTTATATTTTTATGTTTTTTAACTTTTGATTTTATTGCTATCACATAGGGGACCAATAGTCCCCTATGTGATGGCATATGAGTGGCAGGCCATCTTTGTAGGGGGGGAGGAAGGGGCAGTGTATACAGAGAGGCTCCTTCACTGGCTGTCACTATATGTCAGTGCCTTTTTTTTTTAATGCAATTGCCGGCTTTTTTTTTTTTTTTTGGTTGTTGTTCTTCACTATAGCTCAGAGAAAAACTTTGTTTCATTTTAGCTTGGGAAAAAAACTAAATATTTTTTTTTTCCTTTTAGTTCGGGGGAGAGTGACAGGTCATTCTCTGAGCTATAGTGAAGAAAAAAAAATCGGTAATTACATTTAGTTCTTATGCACACTGGATGTTTTTACAGCGGCTGTTTTTGGCTTTTGACGTTTCTTTCTATAGCCAGTAAACCCCCCAGCATGTTATCCTATGTGTCCATGTACACATATAAATACTGTATAATAATAGACTGTAATCAATATTTTTTGGCTGGATAAAAAACTCAGAACTAGTGGGCTTCTACAGGAGTTTTTTTAGCTGTAAAAATGCTCTAACCTTGAAAAATGCGGTAAATGAGTGTTTTTGGCCATTTTTGTTTTTTTTTAAAATATAACTTGGGGGGTTAAGAAAAACCTCTAAAAAAAACACGATAAACGCTAATACAAAAAAACTGAAAAACTCACGTTTTTAACGTGACTTTACACAACGCCCAGTGTGCATGTAGCCTTAAAAACCTGCACTGACATATAGTGACAGCCAGTCACTGTATACACTGCTCCTCTCTTGCCTTTTAGGAGGAGTTTTCTTTCTGCTCTAAGAGGATGCAGAACCCCTGACCTCTGTCTGGGCTGTGCTGATCACATGCACTCTCCCAAGAAATAAAAAATTCTCTAGCAATACACACTAAACTGAGCATATGTGCAAAGTGATTCTGCATGATAAGTCTTATCAGGAGATAAGAGGGGGGGCACTGGAAGAAGGGGAGGATCAGAGAAGTAAAGATCATATAGCGTTTTTTACACAATGCAGAGGATTAACCCCTTACGTTCCACGGTGAGTATAATCATGCTTTACTGCATTTACAGATGGATTTTACTGTTGTGGGTTTAGTAACACTTTAAGCTCCTGTAAGTTGTATGTAATGAATGTAAGATGAAAGCTGGCACTCTACTGTAGGACTGTACATTTGTAATTTTGAAGACAGGGTAATACATCCTCATAGTGTAACACCACTAACACTTTGCAGCCATAAGAGGCCTTAATCATAGTCCCCATGACAGAGGACTACCTATACAGACCCAGGGGGCTAACTGCACAAAACAGAGGAATATCTGTACTGGACTAGGGGCCACCTGTACAGGACAGAGGACTACCTATACAGACCCAGGGGGCTGACTGCACAAAACAGAGGAATATCTGTACAGGACTAGGGGCCACCTGTACAGGACAGAGGACTACCTATACAGACCCAGGGGGCTGACTGCACAAAACAGAGGAATATCTGTACAGGACTACCTATACAGACAGAGGACTACCTATACAGGGGGCTGACTGCACAAAACAGAGGATGATCTGTACAGGACTAGGGGCCACCTGTACAGGACAGAGGACTACCTATACAGACCCAGGGGGCTGACTGCACAAAACAGAGGAATATCTGTACAGGACTAGGGGCCACCTGTACAGGACAGAGGACTACCTATACAGACCCAGGGGGCTGACTGCACTAAACAGAGGAATATCTGTACAGGACTAGGGGCCACCTGTACAGGACAGAGGACTACCTTTACCAGATCTGGGGGGCTGACTGTTCAGGGCAGAGGACAAATTTTACAGAACCAGGGGCCTGACTGTGCAGGGCAGAGGACTACCTATACAGAAGTTGGAGGATGACTATACAGAACTATGTAAACTTTTTTTTTTTTTTTTTTTTTAACCTAAATATAGAGGACTTTTGTAAGCACAGAAGAAAGACTACAAGAAAAATAGTTTTACAAAATTTATTGCAAAGACCATAAAAATGACAGCTGATCATGAAGTGTTTGGTGAAAGATGGACTGTGGTCACTTCATAATCAGCCGTTGCACTACTTTTAATCATTTTTATGGTCTTTTTACAATTATTTTTCTTGCGCGCTAACAAAAGTCCTTTTTATTTACTCTTAAAGTGTATGTGATTCCTTTGGATGTGGCACCCCAAGTTGAAACAGATTATGTTGTTTTTCTATTTTATACAGAACCATGGTTGATGGGGAAATGTTAGCAAACTGGCTCCAGCACTGAACTCTTTTGTATTTTCAGGTACTGGCACCATGCACGCACCCTTATCTGTAAAGATGGCCCTTACAAGGTAAAGATCAGGTTGGCAATAACCCACCAAAAGGTTAGCTCATCATCATCATCATCCTCTGATGATTTTCACTGAACTTCTTCTGTATGACCCCTACATATGCTGTGTAGCAGTTGTTTTGTAATTGTATTCGCCTGTCTGTAACTATTTCAGACATGCACATTAGTAATATAATATTATTCTTGCTTAGCATTGGTCATTGTAGCATTTTGTAATTACTTTTTCCTAGCTACCTTTTTCTTTTCTTATGTTTATGAATATATAAAACCATGTGCATCAATCAGCCAAAACTGTGTGACCACTAACAGGTAAAGTGAATAACATTGATTATCTTGTTACAATGACAACTGAAAGTTGGTCGGATATATTAGGCAGCAAGTAAACATGTTTGTTTCTGGAGTTGATGTGTTGAAAGCAGAAGAAATGGGCATCACACTTTCATTATGAGGCTGTCCTGCTGCAGACTGGTCAGGGTGCTCATTCTGACCCATGTCTTCAAATTGCCTGCAATGGGCACATGAACATCAGAACTGGACCATGGAGCAATGAAATAAGGTGTCCTGGTCTGAACAGATGGCACCAGAATGCAGTATGTGAAGAAGGCAAGCCAGCAGAGGCAGTGTGATGCTTTGTTCTACTGGGAAACCTGCCATTCATGTGTTTACCTCCTACCTAAATGTTGGTGACCAACTGCATCTTTTCATGGAAACCGTATTCCTTGAGACAGTGGCCTCTTTCAACAGGATGTGTTTTGCCATGCTGCAAAAATGGTTCAAGAATGGTTTGAGGAGCATAACGAGTTTGAGTTGTTGACCTGGCTTCCAAATTCTCCAGATCTCAATCTAATTGTTCATCTGTGGAATGTTCTGGAAAAACAAGTCCGAGCCTTGGAGGCCCCACCTCACAACCTACAAGACTTAAATATCTGCTCCTGGTTTGGTGCCAGATACAACAGCATAACTTCAGGGGTCTAGTAGTGTCCATGCTTTGACAGGTCAACGCTGTTTTGGTGGCAGGAGGAAGAAGTCCGTGTTAGGTGAGTGGCAATAAAGTTATGGCTGACCAGTGTTTATTTAACGTCAACTTGATGTGTGTATAAATATCGAGTATTCCTCTGTCTTTATATTATCACTTTAGAATCCAGATTTGGAAATTGTTTCTTGGGGATATACACATCTGCAGACAAAATAGTGTACATTTTGTATGTGTTCACATTTATTCTGCATGCTAAGAAGTTGAAGTGTTTGGTGCATACTTCAAAATGTTACTTGTTAAACTATTGTAGTCCAACTGTTGAGTTTAGTGATGGCAGTCCATGTCTTGTCTTGTGAAATATGTTGGTTGCTGGCTTTTTGCCTAAAGCAGACTTTAGTATTTTATGATGGGCAGTAAAGGTGCTATACACAAAACTAGGTTATGGGAAGGGATGTCTGCTGTATAGAAACTCAAGAGTTTATCTTGATGTGAGTGCTGCACTACTGCAGGCCTTGTGTGTAACAACATGATTTATTATGTATTGTGATATATTTTAAAAGGAGTACTAGATTATGCCCTTTCATATATTTTAGGGCCAGTTCACACCATAGAAACGCAGCCCAGATGCGTTTCTGCATGTGCGTTTTTTGACGCATCTGGTGCGTTTTTGATGATTTACTTTTATTTTTTAATTTTTTTTCTGGAATCGGAATGCACTGGACCTGCAAGCACTGGTGTGAAGCACAACCATGTAACCTACTTTCTGTGCATTTTGGATGCAGAAAAAAAATGTACTGGACTGCATGTAGTGTGAACCATCCCTTAATGCCTACTTGCTACTCTGCATGCTGACAAATCTTATGTAAATCGTTTCAAAGTGTTGCTCTGAGCATCACATTTTTTCCTGCAGTCTCATTTGATTTTAAAGCCTCTCTGGCATTAAACTGATCACTGAATTAAAAAAATAAATATATGAATCCTTTTTTTTTTTTTTTTTTTTTTTTCTTGCCCAAAGATGCAGCCGTGTGATGCTTCAGTCCCAATTTCTCTCCTGTTCTTTTTACATCTGGTGGGTCCTTCTATGGCTATCCATGTCACTGCCTATTGGCTGTCTAACATTGAGGTTCTCTCAGGATCTCTAAGGAGAGTGACTTAAGCTCAGAGGGGCATTGGAGGCCAGTGAGGGACAACATGTAGCACTGGGTGCAGGACAGCAGATTTAGGTAAATATAACTTGCTTCACTAGGTAAGAAAAACTAAAAACCTTGCAGGATGAGTTAGAAAAGAGTAGGAGGGAGGGGATTCCTACTTTGCCCAGGTTGCAGCTTTAAACAAATATATTTGTGCAGGCCTACTGGTGAAAGATTAATATGTGTCACTTTGTTTAGCTCTAGTAGTTTGTCTGAGGTTGAAACGTTAGCTTGATTGTCAGGGTTCTAACACTCAGTCAACTACCTGACTCCAATATTGTCTCCTG